GGTACACACTATAAAGCAGGGATCACACGATTTGTACATTTGTACACAAAATGCCAAATTTAGATTTGTCCACATTTGCGCATTTGGATAGCGATGTACAAATGATTTGTTTTGCGATCAGACGATTTGGCTGCCAAAGATCCAAATGATTTGGCACACATTTGCGCACAGCAGTAAAGTGACAAATACTGTCCACATTCATTCACACGATTTAACCATTTGGTCATAAATACTTAAACAGCTGATCCGGTGTCAACCATACTTTTGTATTTATGATTTCGTGAGATTTGAAGTGTAATAAACAAAAATAATATATACGCACAGGTACTCAGAATTTTGAATACACCCTCAAAATCTGGGCTGAAGGTAAAAAACGCGTCTTTCATAGGTTGAAGCATATACTTGCTCGTAACTTTATTTCTGTTTGCCCGATGAAAAATACTTAAATATGCCATTTAAGAGAAAACATTTCGTTGTTTACAACCATTTATAAATGGTTAATTTGTCTTGAGAATGGGCACCCTATGTATGTATACTAGTTAACAAAATAGTCGGACAAGTCGTAATTTAAAATGAAAAAAAGTTAAAAATTTAAATTTTTCATATCGATGGCTGAGTGGAAGATCGACCTATCTCGGAAGTCAATTCAAAAACGCCCTGTCTCTGAAAATTTTTCAAGAACGCCCTACTTTAAAGTTTGATTGAAAAACGCCCTATTTCAGAATTTGGTTGAATAACGCCCTATCTCAGAATTCATTTTCTCAAACGAAAATACATTAAAAATAAGCTGATATAGGGCGTTTTGGAAACGGCAGCTGAGATAGGGCGTTTTTCGATGAAATTCTGAAGTAGGGCGTTCTTGAAAAGTTTTCTGAGATAGCGCGTTGTTAAAAAATTTTCTGAGATAAGGCGTTTTCGAACTGGTTGCCGAGATAGGTCGATCTTCCACTCAGCCATCGATATACTCTGTAAGATTCCGTGATCGGACTTCTACCACATTGTTGTAGATCTGCCACTTTTTGAACACACCTACCACACAAGGTCTGAAATCTACCACATACTCGCGTTTTTGAGTAGTTTTATTTTTGCTCAACATAATTTTCTTAATTTTAAGAGCAAAAATTGTCCAACACTCAACATCAACCATGGTTTTATTGAGTTAAATTGCAAAATATATGATTTATAAAAAGAATTAATAGCGAAAATTATAAAAACCGGCGATTTTTGTGAAAGCATTAGCAAATTTCAGTGCATCTCAAATTTCTAAAGCGTTGTTTACTTTTACTTGAGAATTGTAAAAATCGGCAAATCACAAGTAGCATTTCTGGAACGAGCGTACATTTGTTCGCTACATCGTGATGTGATAAAAAGAAAAGCTCGCAGCACTCTGCAAGGTTGCAGAAATCTTTCAAAATATGTTCGCAACTGTCAAGGAAAAAAATTGCCAAAACCAACGGAATTTTTATCAACTTAAATCTTCCACTTTATTATACTAAAATTAATTTTGTTTTAGATTCTAATTAAAATGTTTGCAATTTAGGAGAAACCTTTTTAATTTTTGTACAAAGTTGGATCGAAAACCTGAGATCTACCACATTTTTATGAAATCTACTACATCTTTTTTTAGATTCTACCACACAAATTTTTTGTAAGTCCGATCACTGATTCCTTTGCCATTTCTTAAGATAAATTATCAATTTAAACATTGTTGTAAGCAGCGAAATGTCTTATCTTGAATCACATACATAAATACGTATTTTTTACCGGGTAAACAGAAGTAAAGTTACGTGCAGGTATACCTGTGCGTCACCCTTTGAAAAACGCGGTTTTTGACCTTAAGCCCAGATTTTGAGGGTGTATTTAAAATTCTGAGTATGCAGATTTTACTGCTTGAATAGACCTACAACAAGTGTGAACCTCGAAAAAACGATATAAATTTTTTTTTGTCGCACAGTGTAATTTAGATCGTCTTTAATAATCTGTACATCGTCGTTTAAAGTACAAAACCGCGTATCAACAAAATGCAAAGTCGCCTATGTGAGGTTGCATAAATTATTATCTAGATAGTAAAAACACTCATATTTCAAACTGGTTCTCTTTTTTTATAAAGCAATCGCATTTCTGGATAGTATATTTCAGGACGAATGGATAAGGATTGTGCCAACAGCTTCTGGAAGCAAATTCAATGTTTGGCAGCAAATGCCAGTTACGCAATTTTGCAGAATAACGATACGCGGTTTTGTACTTTATACGACGATATGCATGGATGTATATGTGTATAGCCAGCAAAAACTGCGGAAAGAGATCCGAAAACTGAAAGAAAGGTGAATAGTAAAGTGCCACGAAGGGTTGTGAAACGAATACTTTTCCGGTTGGTTTTCTGAAATTTTTCATTCTTAACTTCAAATATGCTTTTTCATAGTTAATTATACTCAGAAATTAATTATACATTTAATATGTTCGTTTGCCGGCATAAGAACCTGGAACCTCATGAAGGTTACAAATAGTCGCACGCTTCTCTGCACACTCAACTACTGTCGAATACGTATATGTACATGTTTTCAAATGTTCAGTTTGAGCAAATATTTTAAAATTATTGTTTTCAAATAACGTGATATTTTTCGGTAGTTTTCGGATACGAATATTATATTAAATATTAAAATTTTACCAAAATTGGAAAATACAAAGGTTCACAAGCACGAAATGGCAATACCGCTCAACAATATTTGTATATTTGTCACTGGCATTTGTCATCAAGTGGCAAATCAGATATTTGGTCATTTGCGTAATTTTTATTTGGCTTATGTAGCAGCATTGCGTTCACACGATTTGGCCACCAGGGTTGTTTTTCATTTGCCACAAGAAGGCAAATATTTGGCTTTCCTGATAAATAACAAATGTAATTTAGCGTTCACATGATTTGTCTACGAATTTGACAAATTTTTAGCCAAATGTACAAATCGTGTGATCCCAGCTTAAGGCCATTCCTTTAGGCTGTTACAAGCAACAGTTATGCGAACAATGTATGTTTTACATGTAGTTTATAAGCAACATCTTTCAAATTTGTAAGAGACCTAGAAATGAAGTTCAATTGCGTTTTCGTTAAACTAATTCGTTTTATTTTTTTATTAATAATTTAATTTTTAGTGCTTTATAATGGTTAAAATTATTGAATTGCACTCTTTTTGGTAAATACTTTATCAATAATCAATTGTTTTATGCACAGTGATGATTAATGACGTATAAAAATGAATAATTTTCTACAAAATGGCACAATTTATAGTAAACGATATAAATGCGTTAAAATGAGTTTCGTATAATCAAGTTTGTAGATTTATAATATTTTATATTAATTCTTTGTTGGTAGTTATATAAACTTGAGATTCTTAATCTCACTATTCATGTTTGTAAGTATATCTGTATGTATTCATATTGAACTGACTTTTTGAAGTAAAATGCTACTGAATCCAGCTATTTCATATTATTTTGTCGAATTTATTTTATTCCGCATTGAATTTTCTTTTTTAGTGGTTTACCGTTTTATTTTTGCACAAGCCATATACATATATTTTTTACGCAACCATAATCATATTCCATCTCATTTTGAATTTATTATTGTCTTATAAAATTACTTTGACTAACAATACTATTGCCAAATAGATCGGCCGGAATCGGGCCAAAAACTGAAATCAATAAATAGGCCCATACTTGAAAGTAGTTTCATACAATGGTATTTACATACGTTATCCAATGATTTCTGAAATATAATTTAAACGTGCAAAAGTGGCATTTGGCGATTGAAGTGACAATTTTAATTCCGATAGTTCTTAATGCATTTTCTGGGTTTGATGAATACAGAAACCGATTACATTAACTTTTGGGATTGATATTTTAACTGTCACATACATATGTACATATGTATATGTATACATATATGTATATGTATATAAATACTTTGTATTGCTAAAAAGTAGGTATTCTAATATAAACACATTTTGTATGCATGTATGTAGTCTATATGTGGTAAAAGTAAAAAAAAATACTCTCCGTTTGCCTAAACATTAGGCCCTAAGCTTATAATTTAAATCTTAACTAATTTTGGCTTAGCGTATTTTCTTAGTGTAACAGTGAAATCATATTACTATAGGTATTTCAACTAATACAGTATACAATAAAATGACTTGCGACTAATTGTGACTTGCGAATTTCAACATTCAACTCAAAAACCATACACTAGAGACTCGGGAAATATATTTACAATAGCTACAGACGAATAATAATTAAACTGATTACACAAAAATCAGTATAGCTAAAACAGCAAAACAATACAAAATCCAGTTAATGCGTAGATCTACTATTTTCTATCAGTTATTACTTATATTTAGTTTTAAATTTATTTTTAAAACTAGATTAAAGTCCTTTTCGCAATTATGCAGCCCATAGCTACTTTTATAGCTCGCCATGATATCCTTTAAACGCCAAGCTCTAATATCTATATATGTTTGTATATGTATATTTGGTTTCAATGATCAGTGCTTAGCGTTTCATCTATATTGCTGTCCCAATTGAATTCCGTAACACCCTGTTTGTAATAGATATTGCCCAAGTTGGCGAATCGCTTTTCAAAATCGTTGTCTTTCGCTTTTAAATGCTCAAATCTGTGAAAAAAAAGAACATTATCCAATGTCTCCAACATCACGGATGCTAAATTTCTTTGAAATGCCATAGTTTTGAGTAACATAGTAGTATTTTTAATTCTTAGTGAAACTTCTTGAATAGCAAGATATCAAATAATTAGCCTGTCCGAATAGATATCCAGGGAAAAATATCCAGCAACAACTTGCAGGAGAGTAACGAACGATCATCTGTCAAATTTAAAAATATCCAAAAAAGTACGAGAATGCAAAATTAGCAAAAGCTTTTAAGTTTTTAGTACTGCTGATCGAAATTTGGTTTACNATATCAAATAATTAGCCTGTCCGAATAGATATCCAGGGAAAAATATCCAGCAACAACTTGCAGGAGAGTAACGAACGATCATCGGTCAAATTTAAAAATATCCAAAAAAGTACGAGAATGCAAAATTAGCAAAAGCTTTTAAGTTTTTAGTACTGCTGATCGAAATTTGGTTTACATACAAAAGCATAAATCAGAAAACATGAAAATACTATGAATTGAAAGTTTGCCTAATAGCGTTTTCATTTCAACCAAAAAAGGTTACATTCTCTTTGCCCACTACGTACAAATACTAAGAAGAGGGCAATGAGAAGGCAACATTTTTTGTGCAAACGCAAGTAAATGAGAATGCACAGCGCTTCCCTTCCATATAAAATGTGGGAAAAAATAGAATTATGGACGCATTTAAATGAAAATTCGCTTCTTAGTAACATTGAGGACGCTAAATTCAAAAATGCAATTTATGTTTGGANTCTACGTACAAATACTAAGAAGAGGGCAATGAGAAGGCAACATTTTTTGTGCAAACGCAAGTAAATGAGAATGCACAGTGCTTCCCTTCCATATAAAATGTGGGAAAAAATAGAATTATGGACGCATTTAAATGAAAATTCGCTTCTTAGTAACATTGAGGACGCTAAATTCAAAAATGCAATTTATGTTTGGATAGATTTCATACTTTCACTGTAAATGCAGTTTGAAGCAGAAAATTTGGGTGCTTGTGGCTTTTACATAAGTATGTACATATAGTTCATTCTATTTTCAAAAGTGAGGTGTCAAATGACAGTGCTTGACCTGTAGATGTGCAATAAAGTTTTCTTATTTTTAAAAAAAGGTTTCCACCTGTTAAAAATTGTATTAAAAATATTTAATAAGTTAAATGAATTAGATATTACAATATGGGTATCAATTGAACTAGTTTTGAAAATACTTTACCTCTAAATGACACGTAGAAGGGTTGCCACATGTTTAAAAAATCAAATTCACTTTAATAAAGGGAATAAGGTAGCTGAAATATGTATATCAATATGAGTATCAGACAAATGAACAAATTTTACATATTTAGCAAGAAATAATTGGAGTAAAAACATTCCTGAGTTAATTTAAGAGTCCACATTTAAAAAAAAATGTAATCAGAACAAATCACTGATTAACAATGTATGTATTTGTAATAAAACAACAAATACGATGGCGTAATCGTATGGTTTCGCGAATTTATTTTTTTAGTTTAACTAAATTGGACTTTACAAACAGGTGGCAATCCTATTTTTTATATTTTTAAAGTACCGATATAGTACTCATTTAAAGTATCGCTATAAAAATATCGGGTACCCATTACACTGTGAGACAAATGGTAGGGGTCAGTGATCGGGAAGGGTTCAAACTACCGGGGAAAGTTATATCGGTAAAAAAGAAGTTATACGTGTCCCGGCGTTTCGCTGGGTCACGTCTAGGAATCGAGATATATATATATAACTATAGTTATATGATAGCTATCATATAGGGGAAATTGTCACCTTTGGTGGTCTTTTTTTGACATAACTCGAGAACCACTAGTCCGATTTTGCTCAAACAAATTTAAAAAAATTAAAAATTATAATTCCTTTAATCTGTTCATATAACGTTTTTCTATATAATCAACAGTTTTAAAAAAATTTAATATTTTAGGCAAAAAATATTTTTTTCCTTCATACATTTATTTTTACCGGCATACATAAGGAAAATTTGAAAGTTAGGGGGGGCTCGAGCACCCATGTGTGAGAGTTACATGTTTGATAGTTAAGAATTGCAATATTAATATTATTTTGGCGCTCAAACTTTCTTCCCCGATTTGTGTTGTGCCTGTTGCGGGTATTTACACAAATGGGAGGACAGTTTCACGCCGTCTCCGAATGACAAATAGATTTTCAAGGCAGAAATGCACTTGGAGGTTTACCATTGAGGGGCGACCGCTATTACAAAAACTTTTTCTAATTTAGATGCTGCCGGGACCAGGGATTGAACCCAGGTCCTATGGAGTGGTAGTCCGCACCTCTTCCATTCAGCGACAGCGGCGGTCAAATCGCGATATGATGATAAAAAATTTACATGCAGTTATTGTAACATTGCTATTTTCCCATTACATGGAGATATGCATGTATGACTTATCTCCAGGCGTTAACTACAAATGGTCTTGGATTTAAAAAAGCTTGTTTATTGTGAAAATACATTCAGATGATCTTTTTACTTCACCAAGCATACATATGTATACCGCGGCCCAAAACTATGCATTTCATTTTTAAATTCAAAAATAATAATTTTGTCTTACTTCGATGAACCGTACCTTTGGAATAGTAAATTCTTTGCAAAGGCATATAGCTCGACATCCAAGCTGTTCAGCTCCTCGATACGCTTCTTTTGATCTGGTCGCAAATTGTTCACCGCCGACGCAGAAATTGTTGTATTGTGTTGCTCAAAAGGTATCGCAAATCGAAGATTGAATGTCTCTTCGAAAATGTACTGCGACATCTGTATAATAGAACATGAATTAATTAAAACTTCCTACATGGGTAACTCAAAGAATATTTACCTTCTGATACTCGGTGAGTCCAAAGTATGCCATAGCAGCCAAATTGCGTTTAGCGCTCGCCAACATCACGCGGTCGCGTTCGTGCGCCGGCATTGCAGTCTTGTTGTAACAGCCTACTAACGCCAGATCGGCCAGCATGCGTGTCTGCCGGTTGGCTGCTAAATTGGACTCGCACGCGGCGAATTCATCCAACTCCACGCCCAACCAATCCTTGCCCTTGTAGCAGGGTGGCAATTCAGTCGCGGTGGCTTGGCGTCCGAGACACCAATGGCGCGAACCTTTCCATGTAGCACCGCGCCGCACATGCCGGTACTCGGACATGTAACGCGAAATGGGTTCGCGAAGCAGTGTTATGTAGAAGTATCTCCGCTTCGCCGTCTCACCCTCATTCTTGTCCAGCTCGATGTCGACACAACTAGTCAATTCCGTCCAATCTGCGTGCAGGCCACACTTCCAGCCGGTTGAGTAGCGTGAGAATAGCCAATTTTCGTTGCGATGTGGACGGAAGCAATAGCAACGCTTGCGCTGGCGCTGGCATTCGCAAGGTCGCTGCGAAGGATAAAAGTGATAGAAATGAGTTAACACTTATTTGGAATTTATTTCGTTTGCGTAGTATACCCAATAAACATTGGGCTTGGTTAACAATTCGAAAATGATCGGAAAACTAACATTTTTTTTTTAAGTCTCACCTTCGATAACGAATGTGGAATAGGTTAGTATTCGATTCGAGAACTAGGCCATTCTCCAGCGAAACGGAAACTTCGTTATCCAATGTTTTTTTCCTTCATTATGAATTCGAAATCCAGTGCATTATCGCATTGAAATTTTAATGAGAGAGAGTGATTGTCTTGTATTTCCCTTGGAAAATTAGCTAGATTTCACTTTCTCTCTTTTTACTATGGTTATAATTTTTTTTCGAGCCCATCTCGATTGTATTTGTAAAGGTTGGTTATGAGTTCGTTCTCAATTCGATGTTCATATTGGATATTGAAGGTAATTTTCGAACGTTCGCCAAAATGTTTATAGGGTAGGTACTGTGTGGTATACATATGTACATATATAAATACTATTTAAAAATATACATATGTATGTATGTATGTACATAAGTGGGTATTTATTTTCTGATTATAAAATAGGCAAATGAGGAATACAAAACCGTAGGGATATGCAATGGAAAGAATGTTGTTTATGTACAAGCATATGTATAAGCATGGACAATGACAAAATCCGACGAGGCGGCTCTTGGAGTGTTTGAGAGAAAGATTTTGCGGAAGATTTACGGGCCTTTACGCGTTGGCGACGGCGAGTACCGCAGACGATGGAACGATGAGCTGTATGAGCTTTACAACGACATAGACATAGTGCAGCGAATTAAAATACAGCGGCTCCGCTGGCTTGGTCATGTCGTTCGAATGGACACCGACGCTCCAGCTCTGAAAGTATTCAACTCGGAACCCAGCTGGTGGTAGCAGAGGAAGAAGGGAGGCCCCCACTGCGATGGAAAGATCAGGTGGAGAAGGACTGGCTTAACTTGGCATTTCCAATTGGCGTCAGTTGGCAAAATCGCTTAGGTGGTTACAGCGCCAAAAAAAGAAGAAGAAGAGGATATATGTATATGCATGTAACGTAAGTAAGCATTTGTGCACAATGCTTCGCCAATATGCAATATTTTGTACTAAAAGTTTGGAATTTATTACGGATATTGTTGTCAACTTTGTACGTGAAATGCTCGTGAATTATGGAAATTATTTATAAATAACTCCTCCATCCTGTCATCAGTTCACAACAACGAAGTATGTGGATTGCATACAAATGACCCCAGTGCATGTTTGCCATGTCAGCATGAAGAAGTTGTTTGAAGTTTGAATACTTCATGTAAATACACGCACACACAAAGTTGGCGTATTTGGAATGTCAAAGTCAAGGCTAAAATACAATACTTTATGGCAGGTTAGCGAACAATTATGATAACAAATATGCTTAACTTTTAATATAATGAACATCAAACGCGAAAGACGCGAAAGAGGCCTGCATACCAAGTATCTACGGCCGGTGCGCTGAAACTAAAAATATGCTTTATTTTGGTGGATGCTAGTTAATGTTATAAAGTAATGCTTAGTTATCACCAGGGAACGGATTTTTAGGACCCAAAAACCTATAAAAAAGGCAAAATAAAATAACGAAATAGGATGGAAAAGGCAAAATAAAATAGCGAAAAAGGCAGGAAAAGGCACTAAGTATTACAAAAAAAGCAAAATAATGCACTATAAAAAGACAGAAAATACGAAGAACAATCAAAAAATACATTTATTTTAGAAATGTTTATATTACAAGTAAAAAGAGAAAAACTATGAACTTGTTTCATTATAGGAAAAATTTGTACTTTTAATCTGTATAGTTGTAGTAACATTGAACCACAACACACATTTTGAAGTTTTCTTGCAGCATTTTCATTCGATTTTCGCGAAGAAAGCCTTGAATGTACTAAATGTGCGCTCGACGTGAGTTGATACAAGTGGAGCCCAATTTAAATATGGAACGTTTGAAACGTTCATATTATCAGGAATAAGGGCGTTTTCTTCGCCCTTTACAATTTTATCCACATCCCCTTATTGTCTCCAAGCCTACGCTAGCTGATAAAACGGATTTGAATTTTTCCAACACCAATTTGGCAAGAGGTCCCTGCGCTTCCATAAGCTGCATGGGCATGTGTATATTTTCTAATCTTAAAAAAAATATTGTAAATGCTATAATCCCTTTTTTAAAGGTAGAAAAGGCAAAAAAAGGCAAATATCTTAAAAAAGGCAAAAAAAAGCAAATATCTTAAAAAAGGCAAAAAAAGGCAACATCAAATGTGTATACATATATCGAATCAGGGAAAGCTAAATCGTGGACAATCCTAATCGAATATACTCTATCTCTTTAGCAGAAAAAGGCAATTTCCATGAAATCCGTTCCCTGGTTATCACAATATACACACATAGTACTCTGCCTACTTTTAATTCAAAAACTCTTAAAATTTTTTATATAGTTCTTTGTGCGAAATTATGTTGTTGCAAAACCAGCGATAGGGCGAACGTACTAGATGTTAAGTCTTCTTAACCGTGTGGCGTCAGGCCGGACCAATGCACCACTGACCAGATTTTCGCAGTTCGTGTTCCTGAAAAAGAATCTTCGATAAATAGATCGACATACACTACGCCCAAGAGAATCTCATGTTGGAAAGCGTTATATGAGCTGCCAATCTTAATCGCACTATGCTGCGGGCATTTGCAGATTACATTGGACCTCATGCATAAAAAGTGAGCTTCAGCTCAGGCAAAATTTTTCCACTTATGGAGTGAACTTAAGCTCAAGAATGTGTGTGAAAATCGAGTCGGAGCTTAAGCTCACTTTTTATACATCAGGCCCATTGATATCATCGACCTCAACACGGGGCTCGTTAGCGTAAAATTTTCCAGCTTAGAAAAGTTAGAAAAATAGGTTGAATAAGCGGTGAATAAAAATTATACAAAGTACCCCCTAGCAACAAATAAAGAGTATTCCCGTTTTGGGACCCACGCCACTGTTGACGGTTAAAATTTTGAAGTAGTGAAGAACTTTATCACAAATAATGTCAGCCAGGAGATCAAGTGAAGGTTCAAAAGGTGTTGCCGTCGTCTCGATGGACCAAAATCACTTTCGACAAGTCTCTCATCATGTCAGTCCTTTTATATGGACGATGTCGAACAAAGATGCGGAGCTTTCGAGAGAACTATTAAACGCCTGTACAAATACTACTGCGCTAGCGGGGACATGCAGTACACGTGGGTGATGTTGGGGGTTTAAAATCAATTTTATTGACAAGTTAAATAAAAGTTAAATATTGTAAATGTGAAAGTTGAAGTGAATGTGTGGGTATGTTTGCTGCTCTTTATTTTGATAAAATATGGCAAAAATAGGTAGCTTAGGACCCGGGTTAACATATATTTTTGTAGCATATTTTTTGGGGAAATTCAACCAAATTTCGCAATATGAATGCCAAACGAACGAGTTTAAAAAAGCCTTATTATGAAACCATCTTTGAGAAGATTGTCCCACTCCGAGCGATTCCTATTTTTTATTTTTTTCTTGTTTTTTGTTTTTGTTTATGGTATTTCTCAAGATTATTTCAAGTTAGTCTAATATTTTAGAATTTAATTTTTATTAAAAGGCCACAACAAATATAATTATGCAAATTAAACAAAATATTATTTGAAAGAGCAAATAAATCCACAAAACTGCCGCACACCCAGGGTGAACTAATTGAAGTACTTTATATTGCCGAGTAAATTTAAAATTTATTCCGTTTCCCTCCTTTACATGGAATGACTACCATACAACGCATCAAAGAAATATATATATTTTTTTTAACATGAAACTTTCACATCAGTAGACTTAAAGGAAATGGGCGACAAAACTGCATACCCAAAATTTCTCTATGCACATGGTTTATTTTCTGAATGGGGCCCGAGTAGTGCGCTTGATAGAAATTCAATATTGATTTAAACACCCTGGTAGAAGAGCGTAATATAAAAGAACGAGTTTACAAAAGTTCAAAAGACTACCCATATTTCCTTTATGCTTTGCAAAAAATTCGAAGGCAAACTTGTCAGTGGCGTTTCTAAGGGGTGGCCCCTAAACACATAATACCTTTTATCCCTTTCTTAGAGCCAAAGCCGCCACCTGCTCCCACCCACATGGTGATTTTAGGTGATATTGTATTTCACATGAACACACAAATGAAAGACCCAAAATTTTGGGCACTTCCGAATGACATATTCAAGGCCGAAACAAATACAAATACAATACAAATAGATAAGCACTAAAACATTGGTAAATATACTTGCAAATATGCTCAAAAAAACAACAAAAAACCTTAAGTACAGTTTAGTGTTTTGTTTTTTATTGAGTTTATTACAAAATTATAACGCACAACTAAGTGTTGCTAGATATTCTTAAATAATAAAGAACCGCGCTAATCGTTTAAGAGCGTTGCATAGACGGAAAACGACCCTTCGACATCCACTAATGTGACTGGCAGAATTCGAAATTAGATATTTCCTGTGGTGTTAGTGTATCGATATAGTGGCCACTTTTTGTTTTTATTAAAAATAACGCGGCTTATACCCAAATTTAAGTTTTTTCCAAACTGAATTTAATTTTTTTAAACATTCCTTAATGTCCATTTGAGAAAAATTATTTTTAATCTCTTCAATAACACCAATGCCTTTCCTTATACATATCCCAGTTGAAGTGCAATTGGATTAAAATTAATTAATAAAAACCAAATCTGTTTTTTTTTATGTTTCTGTTTGTATACATTCGTTTAGTTCGACGAATAACGTCAGAACTAGGAAATAGTCGAAACTCTATGGTTAATCGCTCAAGACAAATTTATTAAGCCAAATTAGCTTACGCAGTATGGAGTTCTTAAGAAATTTGCTAGTTTTCTAAAGTTTTTTGTGAACAAAGAGTACAAGGCAACCAATGTTTTCAACATAAATATACATATGCCCTTTGCAATATTT